GTGGTAGAGTCACCATCCCTGGAGGTGTTCAAGGAACAGCTGGATGTGGCACTCAGTGCTCTGGGCTTGTTGACAAGTTGGGATTGGGCACAGGTTGGACTCAGCTGCCTTGGAGGTCTTTTCCAATCTAAATTATTCTGTGATTCTGTGATACTCAAAGCAGAGAAGGGAGGAAAAACACCAGTCATGAAAAGAGATGTGGTAAATAGACCCTTTCGGCAAAATCCTGGAAAACAGAGAAAAATTCTAGTGCCAGCTGTGTGCCTGCAGAGCCACAGATCCCTGTTGCTGCTGAACTCCCCATGCTTGCAAAAACTCCTGCTCTTTCTTCAAGACCCAAAATAATGCTCTGTCTGGGCCTGTGACACCACAGATCTGCTGACCCACCTCACCAGCTGTTGGCATGACAGACAAAGCCGGTACCTTCTTCCAAGTCCTGGAAGCTGGGAATGGAATCTTTTCCTGAGCCCCTGCAGCTGTGTTATAACGGAGGTGTCAAGGAGTTTGTGTTGCTGTGTGTTCCCTACAGACACAGAGGAGAGAAACAGCCATTTCTGGGAGGTTTCATCTCATCTGAAGCAGACACACAACACAGGGCACATGAATCATGTCCTGGAGGTGCTCATTTTTCTCTGTTGACAGCAGAGGCCAGCCCGAGGCGAGACAGATGCCTCATCCCTGTCACAGCATCACACAGCGAGCACAGCTGCATCCCTGGGAGGGAGCGAGCTGTGATTCCTGCCAGGATTCCTCCTTCCTCCTGGGCAGCCCTGCTGGGTGGCTGCCCCCAGGCCAAGGATGAGCTGCTCTTCCCGAGTCCATTTCTTCTGGAAAGACAGAAAGGAGAGGCCAGAGATTGTTCTGCTTATCCCTTTGGCACTTTAGGGTGGTTCAGGAGCCCGTGGCTGTAGGGTTATGGCACATCACGTGCCCTGCAAGCTGAGCATCACTGCAGGGACCCTCCTGAGGGCCTCTTGTTGCCATCTATTGCCAATCCATGTTCTCATTCCCTCCTTCCTCCTTCTCATTCCTGAGTACCAGGCACAGGTTTAAGGCACTGCCCATCAGAAGGGAAGAAATAAAAAGATCTTTTCCTTAAACACTAGTTAGGGTTTAATAACTAATGGCACAATATTCAGGCTCTTGTATGTGATACTCAAGAGGATAGCTCTCTCTGCAGCCATCCCTGTCCTTAGACAAGGGGAATGATTAGACACAGGAAATGACCTTACTGACAGTGAAGAAAAGTGACAGTTGGAATATCTCATTTTTTAATTAGCCAAAAGCTAGTATTTAATTACATTTTTAATTCATGTGGAGTTTTTTTCATAGATAATTTGGCCATGCTCATGAAATTATATCTTTTTTTAATATTAGTTTACTTAAATTGCTGATTCCCTGAATCCAGTGTGAAAATCTCCACAAGGAATGACTGAAAAATATAAGAGCTCATAGGCTGCTTAAGCTTTCTGATTATGAGAAATCAAATAAAGATTTCAAATTTATTTCACAGACAATTAACCTTATAATGAGTTGAATAGTTTATTGCAGCAATGAGGCAAATAAAAATTTAGGAGCTGCTGTCAATATCTGACCAGAGTGACAATGAAGTGACTTTGGTAGTGTCCAACAAACACATCAGTGCCTCAGGGGGAGGCAGGTGACTGCTCCTGCCTCCCTGACTCCTTGAATTGTGATACCCTCACTTCTTGCACTAATCCAGAACATTAAAAAAAAAAAAACAAACAAGAGGAAGAGGAGTTTGTGGAGCAAAAGCCCCCTTTTTCTCTGGGTATTTTCTGAGGGTTCAGGGCTGTGCTTTAAGCTGGTATTTAGGTGCTCAGAGAGACAGGTAGGATCACGCTGAGATTCCCACAGACACCTTTATCCCTTCCTTTTTTGGCTGTAATTCCCCCAGGAGCTTAAGTGCATGTGTAACCAGAGAGCTGCAGGGTGACCTGCAGGATGTCCAGCTCCCCTTGTGTGTCCAGCCTCTCCTTGCTCTGTGTCACCTCTCCAGAGCAATAAAACTTAGTAATTTCCCAACTCTCAGGCCATCTCATGTGCTGGGGAAGGAGGCACGGCTTGGAGAGAGAACTGAAGTGCATTTAAGCATTGCAAAGGCCATTGGAAGGAAGTGAATTTCCAGACTACCCCGTGCTGAGCCAAAAATTGGTGAATTACTGAAGATTTTTGGTGCAAACAGGTCTTGGAGCAGCTGGTGCCGGTACAGGGAGCGCTATCTGGTGGCTCCTGCTGCACAGTGCAGCACTTTCTGATCCCACACCTTCATGGAGGGAGAGTTTTCCAAGTCTAATCAAGACTTGTGGAGGGTCAGATGTCCTGTTATATTCGTTCAGACTCATATTTAGAAAAAAAATAAAATTAAAATATGTTTCTTTACGAAGCTGGAAGTTGAGAAGAAGGAATAATTGGCAGTGAAATAGTTTTGAAGTCAGCCCACTCACACATATTTCTATATTTTCTAATTAATCCATTAAATATTTTCTGCTGTGGGATCCCATTGACTCACTGCAGCAGCTCAGCCAAGCTGGAAGAGCACAGGAGTGCAGGACACAAAGCTGGAAGTGTCTCCTGTGAGTCAAGTGTTGGTGTAGGAAATGCCCCAAACACCTGACAGGACCAAGCCATCCTAAAATCATTTTGAGTCGTTTCTAATCCTGTCTAACCTGTGTTGTGTTGCTGCAGCACAAGATCATGGTGAGACTAGAACAGGGCACATACAACACCAGCAACAACAGCTTATACATCCCTGAATTAAAACATCAATTGCTGCCACAGTTTCTAGCCCAATTTCACAAGCTAAAGATCAGGTGTCCCCCACAGCAAGAGGAATGGAGACAGATTTGACCTACAGTTCAGGAGAGCTTCAGTTTCTCAGGACAAACTTTTAAGTGGGGCCATGGGACAGCAAAGTGGATGTGAGCTGGACAAATCCCAGTTTTCCACTGCAAGCTTTCTAACCAGAAGTTGAGCACAGCCTTAAATTTTTTGATTGTTCAGAAACTGGGTGTTTAAAAGAACCAGTTAACACACATTGGCAGATGGGTGTGTTTATACACCAAAAAAAAGGTTTAAATCCAACTCCTTTTCAGCAGCAGCACAGTCTGGATCTGCTCAAAAAGGGAAAACTGGGTTTCCAGCAGGCAGATACACCAGCTTGATCCATTTAATAGTTGCTAAACAGGGATGTTATTGATTTAGGGCTCCAGAATGCAATGTCCTTAGACATCCCAGCTCCCATAAAAGTGACTAAAATGACACAGGTCTTCTTGGATTACCAACAGTGATATTTCTATTCCTGGATTTTTTTTCCCCACTAGTACACTTGGAAGCTGATGTCAGCAGCTTTTCTATTCCAAAGTCAATCATGAGGACCAGCCACAGCCAGTGGTAAAGCCCTGCAATATCCTGTGCAGGGAATGTGGGCCTGAGGAGGGGGCTGGCTGATGTCTCAGCAGGTTGTGCTTGTTTCCTGGCACCAGCTGCCAGACCCAAAACCCCCAGTTCCTTCTTCCAGGCCGTGCTGAGGGCACACATGCACCCCTTAGGCTATAGGTCAACATGTGCTTGGGATGTCCTGGAGTCCTACAGCACTCTCTTGCTGTTTGAGAGGAGGAAAGCAAGCAGCTAAGTTTGGGGAAGGCACATTGCTATGCTAGTTGTGACTTTGACCCCTCTTTTTCCTGATTGGTGTAACTTGAGTGTCTTCAGACACTTTAGTGTCTCACTCCAGTCTTTCTTCCAGCACAGATCCAGCTCCCTGCAGAGGGAACTTCTGGACCTGTGGTTTCCCTGTGATAATCCCCAATTCCTTCTGTTCCTCTGGCTTGTCACAGGCTGGGGGACAGTAGGGCAGATGTGGCATCCCCAGTGTTCCCCAGGCCTGTTTGGTAAAGTCTGAGAGCTTGTCCTCTTGTTTTCTCCTCCCTTTCAAGGTGTCGTTCCGTCATGAATCTACAATGACAAAGGCACTAAGGGGAATTCCTAGCACAGCCTAAATAATCTCAATTAGATAGAAGATGGCAAGTGAACAACCTGCTCTTTCAAGGCTTGGCTTTATCCAGGCCCAAACTGCCTGTGCCCTTGGGAATGCAGTGCAACAACTGGCTATGGCCCTGGTTCCACAGCTCCGTGATTTTCTCACACTGGTGAAGCAAAAGCTTTTGGTTATTGACAGCAGCTGGAATACTAAATTGTGGAAAAGTGAAATTGCTGGAAAAAGTCAGCTGAAGGTTTGAGTCTCATCTCATCAGTTCCAATAGGAACAGAACACAGTATTCCCTAAGACCTTGATCACAGCATGCATGAAGGGATTGGTAGGTAGCTCAGGTTTTTCTGGAACATAGTGTCAGTCTGTTCCAGGAGGGTGAAAAGCAAGTCTGAAGCAGGCAAAATGCCCTTTCTCAGTCACAGACATCCTGACACAAAAATGGAGGAACAGCTTAAATCCCACTGATATCAACAGGAGCCTGTTGCCTCGACATTTTGAGTGCCTTATCCTCAGCCATTTATTTCTCTGTCCCACTTGCTGCCTCTCTCTGAGAAGGGAATGTGCATGAGGAGCCCATCTGAATGCTGTTTGGGAGGGAGGAAGTGTTCCCCTGTGAAAAGAGGAGGTCTGGCTTCTCCTGCTCTCAATTTCAGAGAGTTCTCAGAGTCTAGACTCCACACTCTGGTGGTAGGGAGACTTCTACTGAAGCAGAAGTTAAAAAAGGATAGATTCAGTAGATCTTCTCTCTTGTTTGATTTAGCTCAAAGAGATCATCCTTCTGTGTAATCACACCAAGGTTAGCTCTGTTGTTGACTGCACTGGCCACCCTCTCCCCTTGTAGGTAGAAGAGACTCCAAATTACATGACAAAACAAGAACAGCAGATTCCTTCAGAATTCACAATTGTAAAAATAAAGGTTTTATTTGTAAAGCATCTTTGAGAAAATTGTTTAAAATACCACTTTTTTTTCCCCCAAAGACATTAAACACATTTTGTGTGAACAATCCCAGGACGGTTGAAGCCTGCTGTACATGGTCTCTATTTAACACTATTTACAAGAACATCAGAAAGGTTTACTGACAATGAGGATTTGCTATTTAAAGTAGATCCCTCAAAAAAAGTAATAAAAGAGTATTAACATAAGCAAGAGCACTCATTTGTATTTTCAACAGAGCTCCCTAGAGAACTTGTATTTACTGACAGAATACATTGTTGAGTGACTGTTCAGTGAGTAGAACACCCAGAGCTAGCTATATTTAAAAGCCACATAATAAAAGTTTAACAAATATTAATCACTCTCTTTCCATCAGTGGGGTGTCTGTGACTCCACACCCCAGACCTAATCAGGATAGACAAGTTGACACTGCATGGAGGGTGTGCAAGACCTCCATGTGAAAAGGAGAGCATGCAAGACCCTGTTTCCTAGGTCCCTGCTACTAAAAATAATATTCCAGCCAGGGTCCTTGGCAGGGCTCTGCCAGGAGCTGTGTTAGAGCACGAGGATGGAGGGATGAAAAGAATGAATGCTGGCTGCATATGAAGCAGAGCAGAGCTGTTTGTGCACCCCCACTCTGATGAACTCCCACCTTGTGCTGCAGTCCTGGCACCAATTCACTCTAAGCTGTGCCAAATAACCATAACTTAATCCCCAGAAAACAGGGGTGTTCAGGGGGTGTGAGCCAGGGCCTCAACATCACAGGATACTCAGTGCCTCAACAGGAATTCCGAGTGTAGGCAGACTGACAAAATGTACAGATACAGGGAGAGCTGGTTTGAAATGAAACACATAAATCCTGCTGGAAATATGAACAGCAGTAAACTGCCCCTTTATCATCTGTTCAGCACAGTCCAAGCAGGAAAAACTGCACCATAGTAGAAACAGACTGTAACTTCTCCAGGACTGCAGTGAAGAGTGGTGGAAAAAGGTAAAGATCATTTCTTCTAATTGCTCTAAACCAATTAGAAGAAATCTAAAGCAAGGTCTGCTCCAATGTCACAGGAGTTTCTTCTATTGGACTCTACTTTAGGATTATCAAGAGCAGGACAATATTGCACTTTATGGCACATCCTTGCTCAGCCAACCATTTTTGACAGGCAAAAAGAGGTGAGAAAAATACTTTTAGGTCAAATTAACCTAATGTTTCCCTTCCCCATCTACTAGCACGTTGAGACTATGCTGTGGAACCACACCTGTATTTAGCATGCTATACATTTCACACATATGAGCAGTTATTCCTTCACAGCCCAGCAATTGAAGAAACTTTGAATTGAGAAGAGTCCAAATCAAGTTTCTGGTCCACCAGACTTCTATAGCAAGCCCACATAACTGAGATGTATGCCATTTTTCTCCAAACTCCTGATCAAGTTGCATATGCTAGAACGCTAATTACCCTGGGCTCATTCTGCAGTCACAGGAGAGAAAAAGGTATCTTTATATTGTGATAAAAGTCTCCCTTAAATAAAAATCACCCTTGGCCAAGTGCACAAAACCCAACAGGGTGACTCTGGACTCAGCTGAGCATTCAAGTGATCTGCCACAGCTACCAGGCTCAGTCACCCTGTTTTCAGTGTCACCTAAATACAGTATTGAGTAGTTTGGATCCTGTCTCTCTAGTTTGCCAGTGTTAGGAGTCATTGCAGTACCTATAGGGGATAGGCTGAAGAGAAGTTTCTCTGTTCCTCACTCTACCACGTGTACAATGTGGGAAATTCCATACCTGTTTAAAGGAAGATTCATTGAATGTTGTTAGAAGCTCATGAATTTGGCAATGGACATTGGGAAGGAAAGGGTGGAATTATCCTAAGTTAATATGCACTATTAACATTGAATGATAAGATAAATATATTAATTTTCTGCCTTGCCCATAATATTTAAGTGATGGTTTATCTTATAAGTGCTTGTAGACAAACATTCCGATGAGTCCTGAAGGTTCAACCAAGTATTTACCTGATCTTCTCCTCACATAGATGTAAAACAGTATTGCCAGAAGAATCAGTACTAATGCAACTCCAAGTAAAACTCCAAGGACAATCACTGCTACTCTCCAGGAGGAACTGTTGTCAGTTGATGACTGAACAGACAGAGCTGGAAATTTAAAACACATTTAAGAAATGTTAGCTAGAAACAGTAAAAAAGTGGGTGTAAGAAATCCTGGAGCCCTAAGTGACAGCTGTGTTTTACTGCTTGGCAGCTTTGAAACTTTTGAATAATATTGAAAATGTTTTTGTATGTGGTGAAGATTTGTTAACTAGAAATCTTTTCTGAGGGTCCTTGTGATCTCTTGGTGACATCCATAACAACTGCTCTGAGGATCTGATGGATGGAATGGTGTAAGTTGAGAGTTTTTAGATCCTTTTGTGTGAAGAGAACCCATCCTTTGAGTCTAGAACTGGGTATGTGTAATGACCCTTTAAAATAGTATATTTTAATATACTATATTAAAGCTTATTATTTCATAATCTGTATTAAATCACTATATGTCTGGTGAATGTTTAAATAGGTTATTTAAACTATTTGAACTATTTGAATATCTTAAAAGAGAGAAGTTAATTTATCATCTTAATTAAACAGCAGCAGATCTGACCCTTTAATCCCCACACCATTACAAAGGAGCTGTTTCAGCATCACTTACGTTGCACTTCAGTTTGGAACAGCCCAAACTTGTTCCTTAATACTTTTTTCAGGTGTGTCTGTATATTCCCCACATCCGTGGCTTCTTTTGGCAGCAGAAAGAGAAAATTAGCAACCACGCTGCCAGGTCTGAAATCCAGCATGACAATATTGAAGGTGTCATTCCACTGTGGCAGTTCAGCATGCATTCCTTCAACAACCTGTGCAAGGTGAAAATTATATTTATTTTTAAATCACTAAATCTTTGCTTACTACTCTTTCAAGGTAATTGCTTTGGGATAACAAAAATATTGAAAGAGGATTCTGGAGTGACGTGTCATCTGTGATTGAAAAGTTGAAATCTGAGTTTGACTTCCAGAGCTCCAATCTGTTTAGCTAGTGATCAATGAATAATGCATTAAAACAAGTTGTCCTCCTCCACAAACCCATATGGGACCCTGACTGTACAATATTTGGAATCTGCAAAGAGCACCCAATATTTCTAAAGTTATGTTCAGTGTCCCCTAACTTTTTTTAAATGTGCAACTAAACTTCAAGCACGGTCCTGCATGCACTACCATCACAGAATTTGATGTGAGAGGTTTAAAACTTAATTTTGTCACCAGATTTTCAAAGCCGTGACCTTACAGAATACCTTTGCAAAGAGAGACAAGGGTGTGATTTGTCTCTCAATCATTCTGGCATAAACCAAGTGTATTCCTATGGCACTAACCAAAATCAAATCAACTACACTGATATCTCCAAAGGTAGAGTCTTGCTTAGTGCTTTCATATGGATATCAAGCAAGAACAAACAGTTCCCTTTTTTAAGCAAGACTGGTTGAAATGTTTTTGTCAGGACCGATCTTTTCAGAAAATTAGGTGTTTGATTCAACTCACTAGGAGAAGTTATCCTCTCACTGTGGATAAGTATGGTATTTTATCTGAAAAGTCTGAAAGATTATTATTTTTCATAGATGATAACAAACCCTGTTCTGAGTCACTGCTCAGCTTTTTGCCTCCATCTTCTCTGTGGGATAAACCCCCACCCCAAACTTTACATCCCTTCAAGTTCCTTGGCCAGAGGCTCCAAAAATGCTATTTTCCTCACCTTGATGAGCAGTCTAGATGGGAAACCTGACTTATGCAGGCAAAACTGTAAAATTTCAAAGCTACAACTACAGAGTGGTAGTACTGTGGAATATAAAAGAAATAGTTCAACATTCAGATTGGACAGAAAAAAATCCAATACAGAAATTGTCTATATTTTCAATCATGTTAGTTCAGCCTCTCTTTGATTTTGCCATTTTTTTGAAGAAAAGCTGACACTTTCCATGAGGTAAAAGCTCATTAAAAGCCAGTAAAGGGATTCCTGTTGCTTTCAGTCAGGTTGGAGGAAACCTTTTACATCCACTAAAATAAATTTTCTATCCATGAAGTGGAGATGTTAGCAGTCATAAGACAAGGTTACCTCCGAGTTGGCGTGGTGAGAACAAATTAATTACTGCTTTTGAAATCTGTGGAGTTTCTTAGCTAAAGGGTATGATCATCACACTTTAAATAGCTGTGTTAGTTATTTAAAGCAGTCTACCCCAATCTCACAGTAGATTTACCTTTCCAGCAGGCTTATATACATCAGGATTCCTGAGAGGTGTTGAAATGATTAGGTTTCTTTTAACATGCTGCTAAAGACAGTTGAGTGGCAGACTGATGCTTCTGCCTGTCAGCGTGACTAGCTCGAAGCTTCCACTCCCTCTCCTCGTTTTCCCCCTTAAAATGGACCCCTTGATACTTTGTCCAATCCTGCATCCAGAATATCAGGATGATAATCCTGATGAAGTGCATCACCAATGATCTGGACTCACAGCACTCACTTGCAAAGTTTTCATGTATCCAACTCTGTGCTGAAATGCTGTTTTTGAATAACATCCTTTTTTTTTGCCTCCACAGACATCAGTTTAATGAAGTGGGAGAAAATAAACAGAACGGGATGTTCCTTCCAAAAATAGGATCTTAAAGTGCCTTTCACTAAATAACTTATATTTGAGGATGGCTTAGGGAATATAGCTCTCCTCATTGGACAACAAGCTGTCTGTCCTTGGAGTATTTTGTGCTTCCTATACTCTTTTCTCTTTTTCACCTGTCAGAGTCTTGATTTAACAATGAATGTAGGAGACTAAGGTTGCTAATCACAAGCCTTTCTGCAGCTCATTCATGTTGACAAAGAAGATTGCATCAACTCACGTCTGTTTTGATCCTTTCAGACATTGTTTTGTAGTCTTCACTAGCAGAGTTATAAAGTGTATTATTAAATATCTCATTTTTTAACCGAACGCTGCAGGCAAATGCTTGGCCTGGAAAAAATAAAAGAAAAAAAAAAAATTAAGAAACAGTTGGGTGAATGTCAGGATTACCTCCAGAATTGGTCTTTAGACTTTATTATCTCATGTGTTTATAATATGAAGCAGTAAAACCAGAAACTAATCAAATAATAATAATAAAGTGTATCATGTGTGTCTAATGCAGTGGCTTTGGAACCTTCAGAGCTGAATCTCTCCGAGTTTGTCAGCCATCGCAATCCTCACAATTTGTTCACCATTCCTGTATTATTTAGGGTACATCCCACTCCCTAATTCAACAGCCACTCTCCCATTGATTTCAGCAGAAGCAACACCAGTCTGTTAGACTCTGCAAGGCTCTCAGTGAGTTTAAATCCTCCTGAGTAGGTGGATGAGCCCTGAGCCAAAAGAAGAAAGCTTTACATAGAAAAGTCCAGACTAAAATAGAGCTGGAAGCTGACACTGAAGTTTGATGGAGGCAGCTTCTGCACCAAAGTGTGAACTTCAGATGGTGTGTGAACTGACATAATAAAGCAGATGGCAAAATACTCATGGGAGATACTATATTGTGAAATAATACCCCATAGTTATGGATAAACAAATGTTAAGGTTCTATAAACTTACTGGAGCATGCAATGCTTTTTAAGTCAGAATAGTGAGTACTTTGTGCTGAACAAAACTCAGTTATTTCGAAACCGGAAGTAGGATCTGCAAAATAAATGAAAAAAAATCAAGATAATCACTTCTGTGCATGCATTATTAATGCTAATAAGAAAATTATGGAATAGGTGAAAGTCTTTAATTATGGCCAAGGAGTCACCAAAGCAGCAATTCCTTTGGCCCAGTGAGAACTGAGACTCGCCAATTATAAAATTGGAGCATATCAAAAGAGAGGCAGGTGGTGGGTGGGTAGGTGGTATTTGAGAGCTCACTGAAATAGCACTGAGAACTCTGATTTCTCATGAGAGCTAAAGATATAGGTTGTGCTATTATGTGCTCGTACAACTCAGGTAAGCTAGACGGAGTTTTCAGAAGTAAAAGTCACCTGCAATTTCTTTTGGAAAAAATATGCATCATGGGGTCTCAAAACCTCAGTATGCTTGTCTGGATTTGCTAATCTGAACAATTTATGAAGGGTCAAAACCCATTAAAGGCTGGCATAGCAGGTTTTATGTGGTTAGCTCATTGGATTACATCTCCGGTTCTCATAGAATTGAACATAATCTTTAATTTCACATGACATATGGATGACTTGGTCTTTATTGCTCTTTTTAATTAGCTTACAAACAATTTTCTGGTAGGGCAGATGGCTCCAGATTACAAAAGAAAACAATTTTTTATTTTTCTTGAATAGAGAAACTAATAAATGAAAGCCAGTGGACTGAAGAATTGAAAGATTTCAATAGAAATAACGATGAGAATTTCTTGTCTTTGTGGTCCTAAAGACTAAGAGAGAGGGTAAGTCCATCAGAAGAAACCCCCACAGTCAACTGCCAAAATAATTGCCCTAGAAGAGTTCTGAGAATAATCAGACAATCCACTGGAGAACTCAAAAAAGGACTGAAACAAGGACATTTATGTTTTAGAGAAATGCTGGAAGAAAGTAACAATTGCCAAAGCCAAGTTAGATCTTTCAAGTTATATAAAAAGAAATTGTGAGCACTTTCTCAGCCACTGGGAAAGAATGATAAAGTGCAGCACAGTTTTATCAAACGTGGATCATGCCAAAATAACCCAGTGGCTTCCTTTGACAGGCTGACTTTTAGATTTATTCCAGTGATGGAAAAGCAAAAGTATACAGTGCCAAGTGGTAATTTTTTAAGTGGAGTAAGTTTTGTCTAAAGGAATTGGCTAAGGGGGAGATGGCAATGGGGAGTTTTAAAAGGAGATTTAGATTTAGAGGGATACTGTGTGTCATGTTCCTTCAAAATCAGTTTCAGTACAGAGACACAATTAAAATGTTTGCCTTAATGTCTATAACCTAGGATGAAATTAAAAAGGTAACATGACAATTAAGGACTGTCTGCATTCACAAGAGCATGTAGAACTTAACTCCATACTACAGGAATATTTTCTGGTAAATCTACAACCAAAATATCCTGACTTCTGTACAGAATTATCTGGCTCAATAATACAGCATGATCAGAAATTTTACAGAGCTCTTACTCTTGCAAACTCCCGTTTCATTCAAGCAGTCCTATCCAAATAAGGGGATGAGTCAAATAAATAAAAATTACTTTTAGGAATAAGAGTCTGTGAGATCAAATCCAGATCATATCACAACAAGATACTGTGAGTTTATAGTAAGTAAAAAGAAATGCCAGGGCGATGGAGGAGGTACCTGTTCGGACAGTGACTGAAGAACGATTATTAACACAAGATGACACTGCCACAGAAATGTTGTACACATGGCCAGGAAGCAGGTTTTTAAACACAGTTTCTGTGTCTTTTGTAGTTGTTGTATTTATCTCCTCTCCATCCATGACAGAGATGTTGTAGAGGCTGCCTTTGCTGCTACTGGTCCAGCTGAGCTGTATTTCTTCTTCAGTCACATTCTGAACTTCGATGGACACTGTTGCTGTAAAGTGTGAAAGTTTCATACAGCTGAGAGCAGTTCATTTCACTGTTACCATCAGTGAAAAATACACACTACTGCTTAAACTCACAGTGATGAACAAATTCATACCTCCTATAAAAGCCTTTTGAAGATCAACAGAATGGATTGGAAGGGACCTTAAAAATCCTCTGGTTCTAACCCTGTGCCATGGGCATGGACAACTTCCACTATCTCAGGTTGCTCCAAGCCCTGTCCAACCTGGCCTTGGACACTTCCAGGGTTGGGGCATCCACAGCTTCTATGGAAAACCTGTCCCAGGGCCTCACCACCCTCACAGGGGAGAATTTCTTCCTATGATTTACTCTAGCCCTATCCTATTTCAGTTAAAGGCTGTTTGTCCTGTCACTATGCACCCCTGCACAAAGTCCCTCTTGTAGGTCCCCTCTCTACTGGAAGAGGTTCTAAGGTCTCCCCAGAGCCTTCTCCAGGCTGAACAACACCAACTCTTTTAGCCTGCCTCCACTGAAGAGGTGTCCCACCCCTCTGAGCAACTTTGTGACCTCCTCTGGACCTTCTCCAGCAGCTCCACGTTTTTCTCATGTTGAGAACCCTAGGGCTGAAGGCAGCTCTGGAGGTGGAGTCTCACCTGGGCAGGGCAGAGGGGCAGAATCCCCCCGTCCCCTGCTGCCCATGGTGCTTTGCATGCAGCCCAGGATGCCTTTGGGTTTTTGGGCTGTGGAGGCACATGGCTGAGTCATGCCAAGCTTTTCATCCACCAACACCCCCAAGTCTTTCTCCTCAGAGCTGCTCTCAGTCCATTCATGCCCAGCCTGTGTTTGTGCTTGGCACTGCCCCAGTACATGTACAGGACCTTGCACTCGGCCTCACTGGACTCCATGAGATTCAAGGGGGCCTGCTCTAAAGCCTGTCCAGGTCCCTCTGGATGCCATCCCTTCCCTCCACAGTGTCAACTGCACCACACAGTGTGATGTCATCAGCAAAGCTGCTGAGGGTGCCCTCAACCCTGCTGTCAATGTCACCCACAAGGACATTAAACAGCACCAGTCCCAGGAGTGACCCCTGAGGAACCACTGGTCACTGGGCTGTCCTTGGCCATTGAGCCACTGTCAAGGAGCAGGTTGTTCCTTTTTGTGTGTGTGTGCATATCTCCTACTGCATTCCATGGACACTGTGACTCCAGATCAGGGAAGGATTAACCCCTTGGACTAATAGATCTTGAAGAATATTACTATGTGCTAAAAATGGAAGTCATGCTGCCTTTGTTTTTTGGGTGCAGAGTTCAAAAAGGCTGCATTCTCCTCTTTTCCATCTTTGCTTTACTTTTTTATCCACTGAAAAATGATGGCTCTGCCATCCAATCCAACCAATGGATTACTGCGTATTTGTTGAATATGGGCAGATAGCACTTTGGCAAAAAAATTAAGATACAGTAGAAAAGAATTAATAAAACAAATAAGAATCGAGTTAGCAAAAAAAAAAAATCAACTGGATTCTCCCAATGAAGGAACTGCCTCAGTATTTCATAAAAGGAAATTTCAAGACCAAAATCAACAAAACAAATAAAACCCAATAAAATTCAATAAAACTTTCCATTGACATAACTTGGCCTATGCAGCATAACTACACAGATTTTACCTCTGTGGCACTGCCTAAGACAAAGTGTGTAATTTCAAAAACAACTCCAGACTGGAACTGCAGCTTTTCAGAAAATAAATAGATGCAGGGATTCATATTCCTGGATTAAACTCCCAACTTAAAAAAGACCTTGTAAAAAAGCTCCAATGCCAACTAAAAATAACAATAATGAAAGAAAATTATACTCGACTCTTCCAAAAATAGATCAAAATAAATTTAGTATCATGTGTTAAAATACTCACAGCAAGTTCCAGTAAAAGGAGGATTAACAGATGTTGTTATACTAAGGTTCGTTGTGGATGGGGTTGCCAAGGATGTGGAAGGGAGGGAATGGGAGGTGTTGGCAGTGGGCTCAGATGTTCTGATCCCCTGGTCCATGGTGGAACTTTCCTCTCCTCCAGGAGTCGTGGCTCTGCTCCCCACAGAGGCCGTGGCTGTGGAAGGTGAGGGGCTCCCCACAGAGGCTGTGGCTGTGGAAGGTGAAGAGCTGCCCACAGAGGCTGTGGCTGTGGAAGGTGAGGGGCTCCCCACAGAGGCTGTGGCTGTGGAAGGTGAGGGGCTCCCCACAGAGGCTGTGGCTGTGGAAGGTGAAGAGCTGTCCACAGAGGCTGTGGCTGTGGAAGGTGAGGAGCTGCCCACAGAGGCCGTGGCTGTGGAAGGTGAGGGGCTCCTGACAGAGGCTGTGGCTGTGGAAGGCGAGGAGGTCCTCATGGGAGATGAAGTAGCCGCCACCTCCTCTGCGGGCTGTCCCTGTGTGAGGGGTGTGGAGGTGTGTCGGGGTGCCGGTGTCCCCGTGCTGCTGCCTGGTGTGGATGAAGGGCTGGATGCAGTGGTGCCTGAGGCAGGAGAGGTGCTGGAGGTGGGAGGTCTGGGGGCAGTTGGGCCCTGTGGCTTGGTCTCTGCTGTCCCAGCAGAGAACTGAGCACTCGTAATGCCAGCAGTGGAGGACGGAGAGGAGAGCACAACTGCTGTGGATGGGCGGGATGTGGTGGCCAAGGGCATCCCAGTGGTGCTGCTTTGCTGTGGGCTGGGAGTCACAGCTGGGGAGCCCTCAGGAGAGGAGGAGGAGGAAGAGTGGCTCGTTGTGCCTGAGCTGAGATGTGGGGAGGAAGTAGAGCCACTCTCTGTGCCCATGCTGGGGACAGTGGTGATGTCATTCCCTGTTGGGAATGCTGACATCACTGCACCACTCCCAGGAGACATCCCCAGTGAGCTCCCTTGCCGCGTTGATGTTGTGGGTGTAGTGTCCATCCTCCCTTCATCCATACCTCCACCCATCGTCCTCATCATGGAGGGGGACAGTGAGGTTGTGCCCAGGAGGTTTTGGGTGTTGGGCTCTGTCACAGAGGTATTTGAGCTGTTTAGAGCTGGGCCAGTTCTGTCGTTTGTGCTTCTTGACATGTCTACATGCTTCTCAGTGGTGGTAGTCGCTGTGTCTTTTCCCTCTAATGTCATTATGGTATCTGTCAGAATTTCAGAAATGTGAATTATGGATTGTTGACCTGTAATTCTGTGATTTACTTTAATAGTCTACCGAGTGTAACTTTGGTCTTGTGTGAAAAATTCACTTAACGTTCTCATCTTTATTGTTATTCCCTTTCTTCCTCATCTCCAGTTTCATATTCTTTGCTATTCCTCAACTACGATCTTCCTTTTTCATTTGCATAAATTCGAGATCTTGCCAATTTCCTGGTAGTACTTTTTTTTCTGCATAAATGTAGAGATTTCTGTTACCTTTCTATTCCTAGTTTACATATTTTTTCAATTTTCCATGTACTTTTCTTCTTGTAAATATAATTTCATTTACAGTAAGGAAAGGGTATAGCGGTGAACTCATCAGTGTTGAGTTTAAGGTTGGACTTGATCCTAAAGGTCTTTTCCATCCTAAATGATTCTATGATCCTATGATTGCTCTAAAGTAAAATTCATACAGAATTAAAAGGAAAATTAAAAATTGGCAGAATGGATTTTCCAGCATAATTTTCTCCTTGCCTGTTTGTGTATATTTTATATAAATAATTCAATTCAAAAATAATAATTAAATTCAAAAATAATAATTAAATTTTTTTATTTTGCAGGGCATTTATTCCTTTCCTAATTATTTTTTGTCAGGCGGGAGAGAACACCTTTTCTGAGGATACCTTTCTGTTGATGTTCTAAATCATATTAATCCTGGGTGAAAATTCATTGCCCTCCTGTGTTTACCTCTATTTTTAACTACCAATAAACTGTAACTCCTGTAGTTTGCAAGTGGGAAGGTGACAATTCTGCAACATTTCTAACTCTCCCAAAGTTTCTTTAAAAGGAAAATCAAACTCTTTTTCCATTGTGATTAAATAGTCAGGCTAAGTTTTCCTTACTTGATCTGGTAATTCAATTTTGATTTTGAAGAGTGGCTTTGGTCCTGTTGAAAACCCAGACATATCCTTCTGCATTATGTCAGTTTACTCCTTAGCAACACTAATTTATTATCCTGGATCTTTGGGTCTGGCTGAAGGAAACTCAGAGGATTCTCAGACAGGGAGTATTGGAGCAGCTCTATCAAAGTCTTAAGAACCAAATTAATTAACTGCTTTTGACTCTATTCACCTGTAAATCGAAGGTGGTGTTTTCATATCATTTGATATCTACATAGAAACTTGTAATGTAACAATACATATTTTTCAAAATTCTTCCTGCAGACTGATATGTTTTTTACACCCAAATACAGTTTGAATCATAAGATCCTGTGCTTGTAACTCTCAGACTTTTAACAGCAGGTATTGATCACTTAAGAAACTTGTGTTTGTCTGCACTGAACGACATGAAACCAGATATTAAGAATAAAACAATTCAGCCCTCTGAATTTCTAGATTTTTTTTTAAATCTCTTGCAGTGCAGTGAGAACACATCACAGTTAATACAACCTAATCCATGCTTTTTTTATGTGTCTTTTCCTAAGGAGTCTTTCAGAGGAGAAAAATTGCAAAATACATCATTCATAACTAAGCTTAGGTGTAAAAAAATCATAAAATCTGGTCAGACACTATGTTTGGTCTTTTGGATGAGTTTTCTGAGCACTTTGCTCTCATTCTTTTACCTACTTACAGATTTATATCCCTATTAAAATATCTGCTGAAATCCAATGCATTCAAGCTAAACAAAAAAAAAAACAAAAACAGAAGACCAAAACCCTACAACCCTGTAAATATCACATGTTATTGGATTTTATATCCATTTTAAGCAGCCCCCCTTCCCTGATTATCATTTTGAATGTTTCTCAAGGACATCCTCTAAATACACAGCAACAATCAACAATCAAAGAGATTTTTACTTACAGAGGAAAACAGGGAGGATGAAATGCCAGAGGTAATTCCAGGTGCCCATGTCGAGGCTTCCCCTGCTTGCAGTGCTCGTCCCCTGTGTGAGAGTGACATTTTGAACGGAACACTTTGGTCATTTAAACAGGGGCGAGGCTGCAAGTGTTACGTCCCAGCCTCTGCCAGCGCCTCACGCACATCGGGATCGCAGCTAATGTAACAAAAACCTCACACCTGACCTGTTCTGTAATAAATTCCAACGTTTTCCATTGAAGCGTGCTTGCTTTTTCTTAATGGAGCAAGATCTGAGTGTGAGCCAAAGGTGAGTCAAAATCAGGAAGAATTTAGAGAGCAGTGCAACGCAACTGGACACTCTTTTGTTCTGGGTATTCAATAAGTAAAATACTTTAACAGCCTTGGGTTTGGGCAATACATGACTGAGATCCAGAACTGAGGGCCTTGGGTCCAAAAGTCTTACTTTAATCTGTAGATCCACCTCTTTTCCCTCCATATTTTCCTGTATTATTAATTATTTAGGAGAAAATGTTTAAATATTCAGTTCTAACTTGCATGCTTACTGCATTAGAAGAGCAAATTGCTAGAAATGCACCAAACAGATGCCAGTCATTGGTTCTGCAATACTGTAAAGAGACTGGAGTGGTTGTAAATCTCCATTATTTCTCTTCTTTGAAGCAGGTGGAAAATACTGGACGAGCAGACTTGTCATTCTTAGCTGAGTTTATCCCCATTTTCTTTAGCAGGTTAGGCAGCTGCCATGGACAGTCCCTGCTGGTCACCAAATCCGGATCACAGCTTGAGCTGGATGTCAAACTGCCTCTGTGTGCCTCATCAATGACTTGAACATTTACATTTTGTCATATTTTTAATACCCTACCCTGCCTGAGGTTTATACTGGTAAAAGTCTTCATTAAATCATTTGCAGTGAGATTTTTTTTCCATTCACACTATGTGAGAGGAATTCTGTCTTGAGTAGGGTGGGACAGAATGGAGTGTGGCAGAGTAAGGCCTGAAGAAGGAAGATCATTATTTACCTAATTCAAGTTTTTTCTAGACCTGCAAGGCTTGGCACATCCATAACTGCATAAATTCCAGATTTTGCTTCAGCTGCTGTTTTCTAAAATTGGTTTAATTTCAGTTTTATTCTGGCAGGGAAGTAAGACAAAGAAAAATATTCCTTGAAATGAGCTTAAGGGTATTGTACTCTGGTGTGAGGCAGCAATTTCAGCTTTGTGCCTCGTTTGATGTAGAAACTCCTGACTCAGTCAGTTTTATTAGCAATCACTTGTTTACAGATCTAACTGGAATTCTTAAAGCTATTTCTGCTTGCATAAATAACTGGAAATCACATTTCCTTCTACTTAGGAGGTCAACATTGTCAGACTTCTCTCTCTTGGACTTCCATAAGACCAAACCCAGTCTCTAATTCATGCTCAGCTGGGAACTCTGGTGGTACATCCCCACACACCAGGGTAGGTTTTGACCCTAAATCCCTTCCCTGACCTCTGCAGGTCCTACTCTGTGCAAATAACCTTTAATGAGCTTGCAAACTATGGAGGACAGGGTGGGAAATGCCACTCCCTACTTTCTTAACCAGGATTTTCTATGAAATGACATCCATGGAAACTTGGCTGCAAAGTCTATTAAGTCAAATTCTTAGTGTCTTAGAAGCACCACTGTTTTTTAGTGACATTTAAATTATGTATGAAAATATAAAAAGAGAAACAAATTCAGATGTGGCAGCATAAACCCATTTTTAGTAACATACAGCAAATGACATATAGCATTAAAAAAAAAAAAAATCAAAAACTCTCTTTTTTTTCAGGAAATAGATACAGCAGAGAGGCTGGATATTGCCTTAGAGCCTGTCACCAGGACATAGGTTCAGATAAGCTCCTCTGCTAGGCAGCCTCAATTCACAGTTTCTCTTCTTTCAATTTGACAGTGACCCAAAACCAAACCAACTTTTAACTCGGCTTATCATGTACTTTACAGTAAAAGTTGCTTTTTCATAAACACAGAACAAGTTTTGCCACATACCTTACAGGTAAGAGACTTCCCAGAATGAAACTGGTGACCCTTCTCAAATATTTTAAGTTCCTTGTGACTCATCTCACCAACCTATCAACTCAAGATTTAAGTGATCACTTAATTCTTACATTTATTTTTGAAAGATGCTGAGGTTTCACCAAGAGTTAGAAGGTGAAGATACATGAGGAAATAACGAGATTAAATTACATCTAGTTCACTTGCAACTCATCATTCCTTTGAGGTGACCAAAGACTCAGGACTTCGAAAAAAAATATCTTTTTAGATACTGATTTCCATCTGCTTAAAAACACGTTGTTAAAAGCCCGTGTTTAACTTCTCAAAACAAACAAGAAAAGAAGGATGAAGCTAAAAGAAATACAGAGTGCAGCTGAATTGGTGAAGGCAGTATCTTTTATTAAATCAAAGAATACAATGTGGAAAACAATAAAATCATTGGGGGCTTCTAAGCCCCTCAGCCAACCTAAATTAGAAGCAGCAAATGCTGGGGAGAAATGCTAGTGACAGCTGAAAAATAAACAACCCATTCTGAGGCATGCCATTTTCTAATTTTCCCTCCTGACAGCCATCCCCAAACACTTCCAGACTCTCTCTTGTCATTTTATAAATCAGAGATGGAATTTCTTGTGGAAATCACAATTTGGGGGAAGAGGATAATCGTGGATAATAGATAATAATTAACTTCTTTTATCCTGCTGTAGTAAGAAACTTACATATCCAGGAACTTCCTAAAATGTGTCAGTACTGCCAGCGAGGATGGGCATTGGTCTGTGGGCATTAGGAGTGGAGGGAAAACGGGGTTTTTAGGTAAGAACTGTACTTCTCAGGTGTGTAAAAAATGTCTGTAAGTTCATATAACTGTCATTGGTAAAAATCAAATGTGTTTCATCACCTTTGATGATGACAGAAACAGGGCTATGTAGCCAACCTGTTCCCATAAGGAAATGCTGGTAAATGAAACAGGCTTAGAAGCAGGATGAACCTGCACTGTCACAAAGCATGGTCACAGTATGGATTTCAGACATTCAAACCCTCCTGCCTTCTACAGTCACTCAAGATTATTATTGCTGTACTTGTTGTTGTAATTTTCTTTATTGTCAATATTATTATTATTATTAGCATTATTGCTATAATTTTAATATTAGCTGTGAGTCAGTGACATTTCCAGCTGCCATTCTGCCTTATATATAACCACACTTGTGTAAGAAGTGCCCTACCACTGAATTTTCTCTTCAGTTCCTTAGTGTGTGATTGTGATTTCAGAGAGCTCAGCCCCCCCTAATGTTCAGCTGCATTATTCAGAGGAAACCACCGGGTTTTTCTCTGTATCAGCCTATTACCTATTAACAATGTCTCAAGTTTTTATTTTATGTTTAGTCCATCATTAATCATAAATCTCTCACGTCTAATACTGCTTCCAGAAAAGCTACCTTTTGTAATTTCAGTGCCAGAGAGAATGTGGTGGGTTTTTTTTAAACATCTCTTATTTTGACCTGATTTGTGCATTTTTAATTTGGTGTGATTTCAAACAGCACAGATCCCAAAAGCTCCAAAACATTTGAAGTGTTTGGCTTTAAATGTGCACTCCAAATTTACAGGTCACGAGGGTTTAAAATGTTACAGAGTGTGGTAGTTTGGAATTTAGGAAAAAAAGTGGGAAATTGCTTTAACACCCCAAGTTTTGTCTCTATGTTATCAGTTGGGAAAGAAAAAATTGGGGGGGGGGAAAGGAAAGATTTCTGGAGGTTTTATTCTGGTTTCTTATTCTTGTAGCTCTCTTAATAAACTTTCTTTATTCCTTTTAAGTTTTAAGCCTGTTTTTCCATTCTCCTAATCCATATCTCACAGCAAGAAACGAGTAAGTACTCTGGTGATTTTTAGCTACTGCTAAAAGCTACTACACAGGGTAATAAAAAATATTTCTGAGAAGCATTAAAATTTAATCAGATATAAGGAAATTAGGTTATATTAGCATGGGGTATAAGTTGGCTTGGCCTGAGACCTAAACAACACATCATGTTCCAGTGTCCCTTCTTCCACATCAACCACACTGAAGACCTTAAAACAAGATCCAAAGCTCAGCCCAACCAGGCTAATAAAAGTCATGAGTTTTTCATGGGGAAAAATAAAATTAGAGAAATGAAGAGGAAGGAAATAAGAAAGGTATCTCTGTTTGCCTCCTAGATATAAGGAATTTCAAGTTCATATTGAGATACTTTTTAATGCATTAAAAACTATTGCTGTTTATAGTTGGCAAAGCAGAGTTCCTTTTGTGGAGGACTGACAAGGCATGGTGCTGAGCCACAAAGGTGATGAGTGGGCCCTAACTAGCTCTGACTAAATGAAACCCACATTTTCCTTCCCAGCCTTGCATTGGATTATCCTGAAAAGAGCAAATGGAAGAGGAATCAAGTACAAAATACCAGGACAAACAGAACAGATAAAGATGCACCTGAAACAAATCAATGCCCACAGGTCAGTATATTCCAAGTATAGCTTGGAATCCCTGAGGCTTCCAAAACATGGATTTGTCAAAATGCTCTGGAAATAAGGGTAGCAAAAATAGGGAGAAACTTCCTGTGTAGGAGAGGAGTTTGGAAGAGGAGGGGATGTTCTGCATTTGGGCAGGGCACAAAACCAAAAGCACAGCATCATCAGAGGGTGTTGCTGCCTCACCCAGTAGCCCTGCACAAAGAAATGGCTCAGACAAGAGCAGCCAAGGTGGCTCTAGAACCAGAATTAGAAAAACTCTGATCATCTTGATCTATACTAATGACACCATGCTGTTTCTGTGACTTCATTTCTTTACTTCTTTCTTCTGCTCTGTGCATCTGCATTAGTTTGCTCTACCAGGGAATAAAGGAAAATACAGAGAAAATTACTCCAGAGAAGAAATTCCAGTTCTCCATGAAGCAGCATCACCGACACAACATCTGCTGTAGGAACACGTTAAAATGCCCCACTGTCAGAACAAATACCCACGTTAATCATAGGTGAAAATAAAGAATTAAGAAATTACCTGTGGC